AACCTTTAAAATGAGTCCAGAAAAAAGTAAAAAATAGACTATTAATTACTGTTTTTTACGAACGTAATAAAGTCCTCTAATTTACTAAATAGGTCGTTGGCATTAAGTATAAAGTTGACTGACAAAAAAAACTTGACTGAAAATTAAAACTAGGATGTCATTTTTATGATTAAGTTGGATTTGTTTCAAGTATACCTCCACAACCAGATTAACGTGTGAAATCTGATTAAAAAGATATGTAGCTACGTGAGTACCTACTTGAGAATTTGTTTGGACTTAAAAAGATAATTAAAAGTTGAGATAATATTGTGATACGCAATGTTTTTCCATGCTTATCGTGGATTATCTAATATTTATTGCTTCTACACGTATTCTTACAGTAATAATACAATTTTATGAGTAACTATGTGTAGGTACGTCATGTTTTGTGTTACTGAAACACATCAAAATGGTTAAAGGGGTCGAGATAAAATTTGGAACCAAGGTATATTATGGTCTGTACTAACATATAGGCTACTTTCTATCTCACGGGAGCGGGTGAAACCGCTGGTACAAACTAGTATTTTCAATAAATTCTTGTCAATACAGTCTGTAAAGTAAACAGGCTGGAGCAGATCTATAATGTTTGAAACTACATTAAATAGTAGTAGAATGAAACCAATTGCAAACGAAAGACAATGTGTCCAAAAAATAAGGAAATATAAATTACAGGCGAACTGAAGTCTGGAAAAAGATGGGTGGGCGTTAGAAGAAAAAAAATTAGTTTATCGAGATTAGCGTAATTAATTTCCACATTATTTCTCATTCTACTATTATTTGAAAACGCTTCCAACCGATAATGACGTCATCTACCCCGGTCTAAAACTCTTTGTAGCACAATAAAGATGCAAAAGAAATAAAATCAGTGAAATTATTCCTCTAACACGCAAATAAAGGAATATAAACCTAAAAGAAAAAGCATTAAACACTAAAATTTTATTAGCGTGCATTTAGGCAATTACGAACGAAGAATACTAATCTCCTTCATGTCAGCAGAAGATAGTAAGTGGCAATAAATCGTGCAACATGTTGGCACTTGTGTAACTAATGTTCCTACCGTATTTGCGCTAGATTACAGAATTGTCGACTGGCGGTTAACGTGAAAAATCCCTTATTTGCAGCGGAGATGTAAGAGATTTCCACGTGAAGGAATTAGCGGGAGAATGGTGTTGTATCCTTGTTGTTTGTGGATTGGTTGCTTTTGTTTATGTCTGTATCAGTATTTTAGTTAGTTAAATAAGTATGGTACGACATCAGGTATACTAGAATGAATTACTTCTTCTTTAAATATAGTAGTAGTAACTTTTTGAATTCTGTATGCATCACGGCATCGTTCGAAAAAGTAATGTTCGAATCTTTGACAACCTTTGGTATAGGTCTGTTGTGTCTTAGCCGACGAAAAACTGCTGAATATAAAGTAGACATGGATAGATTGATTTATCTGTGACTCAAAACGAATTTGTCTATTTTATACATTCCGAACATTTACACACTTCTCCCCAAATTGTAGATTCTATTTGTTCCGTGCTAACCTGACCAACAAAGCAGACACACGTAAAATGTACAAAAATTCCTCAGCAACATACGCCATAATAATAACAGTTACAAATATAATAATAACAGCTACAAATATAACAATTACAGCTACTAATATAACACTAAGAGTTACAAATATAACAATAACAGTTACAAATATAATAATAACAGCTACAAATAACCAAAACAATTAAACAGACCACCAATCAATGCAGTAACATCAATCATACCCACATCACAACGCTCCAATTTGTAATACAAACTACAAGATTGTATAATAAAGTTACCTAACCCGTCGGATGCAATTAGAGAGGCAAGTAATTACTTTATTGGTGACCGGGGCACGCCGGTCACGTGTGCCGGCGTGCACAGGTTAACGAAGACAGGGAGATGTGCTAAATACGTGTGGCGATGTTGTATGATCATTTTGGTCAGGTTTTTTTGTTTTTTTTATGTTTGTATTATGTGTTGTTGTCGGTTGATTTACAGTTTTATTAGAGACTTTTCAACAACTTCTCCCGCCTGGATGAGGCGGGAGGGAGTGCTAGACTCTTACTCACTAAAAACCACCCCGTTCCTACTCCTGCACTTCGAGCCAGAGCCCCAGTAACCTTTTACGTACTCCATGGCCCCGTATCGTTATCAGCCCTTTTGGACTCCATCCATGGAACTCTGTTGGCTCTTTGAGATGCGCGCGGAACGCGAATTTCGTTAGGGATATACGTATGTGTGACACTTCACACGATTAAAAAAACCGACTACAATCCCCCTTTTTTGTAATCGATTAAAAACCTACTCTTAAGTGTAAGAAACATTTCTGAAAACCAAATAAAAACCAGTTCAGGCAATCGCCAGATAATCATGCACAAAGATATAATACATACAGGTTAAATTAAAAACATTTTTTTATTAAGTCGGTTATTAAAAAATAGCTCTTGTCACGTTACCAAAAAGATAGCTATCCCCTTGTCTTCTAACCTCATGAAGACGAAATTACTAGCATACCTTCGTGTTCCGACACTTAATAAAGGCCTTTGTCTGGTCTATAGATATCCAATATTGTTTCTATTATGATGTGTCATTCCGGGAACAATTCTGCGGTCATTTTCGGGTTGTCAGGGAAAGGGTTGGTTCTAATTATAAAGGTAGATGTTGTGCTGGAATTTCTTGAAATGTGTTACGTCATATTTATTGATATTATTATATTCAATGGATTTTACTATTTTGGTGAATGAGCTAGCTGTAGCTAAGCTGTTTTATAATATTATGGCTATCGGAAGGAAATATGGTAGATCACTAATTTTTATTCTGGTAGATAATCTACCAGACGGGCATTGCTCAAAGTTATCGGTAATGTGAAGGCAGGGATGGAGGACACCAGTCACTGTGGTGGTTTTGGTGAACTTCTCGAATGCATTCAATATGGTTGATCATGATATCCTATTAGCGATCCTCACCCAGGTTTCGGTATCTAATGACGCACTGGAATGGTTCTCAACCTATCTTCGCGAGCGTCAGCAGTTGGTTCAGGCTGGCGATACGTCATCGAGCTGGTGCCAATTTACTGCTGGCGTTCCTCAAGGTGGAATTCTCTCTCCTCTTCTATTTTCAACTTTTATAAATCGAGTCACTTCCGAACTTCAGTGTGCGTATCATCTATATGCCGACGACTTGCAGTTGTATTGCCAGGCTAGAGTGGAAGATTTGCCCCATGCGATCTCAAGGTTAAATGCGGACCTGGCTACCTTGAACGCTTGGTCAATGAGTTTTGGTATTGCAGTGAATCCCAGTAAATGCCAGGCAATAATTTTAGGAAGTTCCCGTACCTTTTGTAGAATCGACAGCGCAGCAGTGCCGCCGCTTCTATATGGCGGTGCGTATATCTCGCTCAGCTGTTACTTAATTGTTTATTTTTGTATATTTTTTTTAATCGTTGCTCCACACTAGGATTTTTTCCTGTGTCGTGGGTGCGTTTACAAACATACAAGTCCATAAACACATCACACCTAGACTCGGAACAATAATCTGTGTATCACACAAATGAGTTATTCCGTGCCGAAATCGAACCCGCGACAAGTTCTGCGGAAGCCAACAGGCTGCACTGCTGCTGCAACACTGCTTCTGGGGAACACCTCAGACACCGCACCAATCGTGCAGTCAATTTCATAAAAACATCCAATACCTTTAATCTCAACGAATATAAAATCAGTAAAAAAACAAAAACAAATGTACTACAAAAATAAAGTCACACAAAAGCCGGCGGCATAGTTATGAACTTAGTAGAAGCATAGGCAAACTATGGATACTGCAATTACGTAACGTAATTGTTCAGCCTACCCGGGCCGTAGGACAATTGTAATCGGTGTTAGTTCTAACCGCTAGCGAGATTTACACCTCTACATAAAGGGGTGAATAGGTTTGTATTCATAGAATCGTTTAATAACAGGATAGGCTGGTATAGATTATGAATTTAATATGCTAGTTCATATTGGGGCAATAAGATTCATCGTTCTCTGGTTATTTTAGTCTAACATAACATCACGCTTACAGAGGTACACATTAGGACCTTAATGTCATTGCATAATGTAACACCTACTTTTCACTATTTATGTTATGAGTCCCATGTATTAGGGAGTGGGCCTCTTACCATGTATGTGATGTAACGTGAAGTGCCCCCATTTAGTGTCGGCAGATTCGAACGTATTTTTAATCACACCTACTCAACGCGGGTCTATGTTCCTGAATCTAAAAATCAAAATGGACAACAATGTATCGCCTGACCTCAATTACTTACTCATTTCAACAAGGCCTTATTTAATTTTCTAGCAGATAAAAAGTGTACAAACATACATACATAACATCACGAATTTTATCCCTAAAGGGGTAGTCAGAGGTGGATGTACATTACGGCACTTAGTGCCACTGTACAATGTAACACCCACTTTTCACTATTAATGTAAATGAGTCCCATGTAATAGGGGGTGAGCCTATTGATGGCAATAGGCTCACCCCCTATTACACGCAGCCTATTACACGCACCCTATTAGCACGGAGTCTGGAATTATGCCCGGTATATGGATACCGGGCACAATTCCAGACTCCGTGCTACTACTGAGATTTTTTGAAAAAGCCCAGTAATACTTTGCCCGACCCGGGAATTCAACCCGAGACCACTTGCCCTGCAGTCGCAATGACGTATACTCGGCCAACAAGGCAGTCAGACAAAAAGTTTGTTGAAGATATTTATACTGTGTTCTCTTGATATGTTAATTGCCTGCCCCTTATTTTAAGATATTAATGCAAGATTTAAGCAAAAAGTACGGCTCACAGTTCAGTTTCCTTAACGAAGAACTAAAATAATAAAATTCTCCCTAGAAATACCAAAACTTAACAGACAAATCGACGCCTCCTACGTACAAAGAGACAGGTCGAAAATGCCATTTTTTTTTTATTTGCTTATTGGCTTTAAATTGTCCATCTGCATATACCTATAAAAGATTTTTTCTAAAAAATTAAGTAGTTTGCCCCATACATAAGTCGTATATGGGAACAAGTACACCATAATATACAATAAAGTGTCGTATATGCGAATAACCCTACGTATCGTCGTGTACGATGTTTGAAAATACGCGCCACTCGACGCGAACGCGGCCTTGTCACAGTAAACGTCATTTAAAGTAACTCTTCTACAAAGACGTGTCGAAGCGTGATCGTGTGGTCAAATTATTGTTGTTTTGATACAGTTTTTAGATTACTGAGTGTGTTATTTAGTTATAGATATCCGTATATCACCTACAATCGTACTGGAAAATATGAATAACAATAGATCAAAGCTACTAGTGGATATTGCAAACTCCAGAAATAATGTTGTATGTGTTTCTGAAGCCCAAGATTTAATTAATTATATGGATGAAGTTAATGAAGGTTAGTACTCATTCAAATAAGTGTACATTAACAGTTGATTAATGGTTGATTATGTTTATAGTTTTTTCTAACCTAAATATTACAAAATCGGCGTAGGTGCGGTCATATTATACCTACCCGATTCTAATATGATGCAGTCATTGAATTCTATTGTTTCACCAATAATTATAATGGGTTACCCGCTACTTAAAAATAAATGATTTCTTCAATAATTACAGCGTTTATTTGTTATAGAAATACATAAAGTCATGTCCTACATGTCCGTTTATACGGGTAATTTTAAAAAAAATATATGGATTTGTTATCATTTACTTTTATTACTATTTATTATTATAGTATTTTCTTTTTTCGTTTATAGAGACACGAATATGCACAGAAAAAGATATTTCGATGGATTTAGAGGATCGACCACCGGAAGTTCCTAAAAGTCCGACTTTCGGAGTTTCTAACGACGAAACACAAGCTGCCGGAACTCACAGTGATGGAGAACAGAACCAGATATCGGCTAATATACTATCGCAAAGTGATTTAAGCTATATTATTGATACGGTAGGGGAAATTTCGAATGATGGGATTGAAAATTACTGTCTTAGTACATCTATATTTTGTGAAAATGAAACACCACAACCAGTAGCTGTAAACGATATTATTGAAGAACCTTTAACACCAATACCAAGTCCATGCCTTAGCTTTGGGGAGTCTGTTCATGATTGTAACGATTTAATAGAAAGTAGTGGTATTCTATCTGATACAACTTTTAGATCAAGTCCGTTAGGGTCTAGTGAAATGTCTGGTTCATCAACACCACAGCATCGAAAAAAGAAGCGTCAATTTGTAAAAAAAGCTATAAAAAAGAATAGAATTACTAACAAGTCAAACTGGTTAGATGAAAAAAGGAAGGTTCTTGTGAATTTAGGTGAAGCTCACATATCTCGATCCGGGAAACATCAAATGGCTAAACAAATAAAAGGCCCATGTCCATCTTCTTGTCGATTAAAATGTTATGAAAAATTCGACGAGGTAACTCGTCGAAATATTTTCAAAACCTTTTGGAATCTGGGTGATCATTCTCAGCAGTGGTCTTTTATTGCATCACATGTGAAAGAAATACGAAAAAAAACAATGGACACAGGATTCCAAGAGGTTAAATGTTTATAAGTTTTTCTTGCCTCTTTCATCTGATGTTGACCACAAAAAGAAGATAATGGTATGCAAGACCATGTTTAAAAATACTTTTTCTGTAAGTAATACTTTTATACAATCTGCCATTGATAAATATGATAAAGATACGGGTATTTGTACTAAAGACATGAGAGGTTTTCATTCAAATCATCCAACTATTATAAATTCAGCAATGAAAGCAAATGTAACTGCACATGTTAAAAGTTTAGCACCTGTAGAAAGTCATTATATGCGTAAAGACTCAAACAAACAGTATTTAGATAGTGAATTGACTTTTAAAAAAATGTATGACCTATATACTGTATGGTGTAAGGAGCAGAATGTAACTGAAAATATAGCTGCTTCTGTAAGACAATACAAAGATATTGTTAACAATGAACTGAATATAGCATTCCATGTGCCTAAAAAAGACCAATGTGACCTTTGTCATGCAATGAAAAACAACACCTCACCCACTAGTGATGATAAAGTAAAGCATAAGTTACACATGGATAACAAAAAGCTTGCCAGAGAATTGAAAAACGTTGACAAAATTGAAGCTCAATCGAATCCATCTGTTATTTGTACTGCAATGTTTGACTTCCAAAAAATAAATAATACGCCACATGGTGAAATCAGTGTGTTGTATTATAAAAGGAAATTATCAGTGTACCTATAATTTTACTGTTTTTGATGCTGGGTCTAAGGAAGCTACGTGTTACATGTGGGATGAAACGGTTGCGAAACGTGGCGCCAACGAAGTGGCCAGCTGCTTGTTTTCTTTCATTAACAACAAGATTAAAGCTGGTGTCAAAGATTTTAGATTCTGGTCAGATAACTGTACTGGCCAGAATCGCAATCGCATTGTTTTTTTTATGTACTTGTATGTAAGCAACACGTTTAAGGTAGATATATGCCATCGATTTTTAGAAAAAGGACATACTCAAAATGAGGCAGACAGCGTTCACGCGTTAATTGAGCGAACATCAAAAAATAAGCTTATTTACATACCTGATGAATGGTACACACTAGTTCGCTGGGCGAAACAGAATAGTCCATCTTATACAGTCGTAGAAGTGAACCAAGATTTGGTTTTGAATTTCAAAGTCAAATTTCAAGCTTGGCTAAATACCAAAAACTGGATTAAAGATACAAATTCAGAGAAAATTTCTTGGAATAAAGTAAAAGAAGTAAAAGTATTAGGGAAAACCCGGACGTCATTGAATTTAAGTACGATTTTTTTGAAGAAAACTATAGAAAACTGGACTGTAGCAATAATTTAAAATTGACAAGAGGGAGGATAAAGAAAGACCAAGAAATAATACTAGAGAAGGTGTACAAAAATCCTATTCCTATACCTGAACCAAAGTACAAAGATTTGATTAGTTTATGCGATACAATGATTATACCTAAAAATATCATGATTTCTATATTAAGCTTAAACATAGTAGGGAAGAAAAGGGTGATGAGGAAGAAGATTGTTAATTATTTTTCTATAAATGTTAACTTTTTTATGTTATTTTTAAGAACTTAAATAATAACAATAAGATATGTTAGTCTGAATAAAGCTGTGATGATTATTAAATATTACTAAATACGTAGAATATGGATAATTAAGGTGAGACCAACTTAAATAAAAAAAATGTTAATTATTAATCCTAGACCACTGTGATTTTTTATGTTTAGTTCTACTTCAATGAGTCTGCTATTGTTTATTGTTTAGATCCTAAGATTGAAGATTGTTACTTAACAATAAATAATTTTCTTTTTGCGATAAATGTTATTCGGATATTTTAATTTTAGAGAACTATAATTGTATTAAGATTTATAAGTCTGAATAAAGATGGAGAGTGAAGGTGATTAAAAAATGTTAATTTATTAATCAAACAACTGTGATTTTTATGTTTAGTTTTTCCTTAATGATACTACAAGTACCTTTTGTTTAGTTCCTTTAAATATTGTTACTTAACAATAAATAATTTTTGATTGTAACCCTTGTTTAATTAATAAAATACTTTCCTGGTAATTTATGAAGGGACATGTCTTTTTTTACATTATAAGAAATATTGTCTTACAATGACTAATAGAACCGCGTATACAGAGTTAAGTCTTAATTAAAGTACTTTTATGTTCAATCATAGCGATTTTAGGCAGTTTAGCAGATTAGTAAGAAAACATTACAATATTTCTACATTACTATAAGATTTTTTTATTAAAATTATACTTTTTATACTATTTCATCTCTCCTGCGTATAAAAAGGTATCACAGACATGTCCGTCATACTTTTATTTTAAGGTTAGCGTAGATACAGCTATCTGTTAGTTTTACTAAGAACTGATAAAAATAGAAAATATTTATAAATGCCATTATAAACTCGCTAAAACTAATAAAACGTTACAAAAGAAAAAAATAATTAATTATGTACGGTATTCTTTGTAGAGCGGTTTGAACTTTAAAAACGCTCTCCTGAAAACCACGGTTTTTGACTTAACCTTTTGTTCGTAGGGAGCGTCGAAATTCCGTGATAGCGCGGTTATTTCCAATATTATGAATCACATAACATTTACCCGTGACTTTGCTCAAATCAATTTTCCAAATAATCAACCCTTTATTTCTTTCGCCTTATATTTAGTCAAGATTATTCAATGTCTTTTTTCTACGGGATAAGCTGGTGTACGAGCAGACGGATCACCTAATGGTAAGCAATCAGGGTAGCCCATGGACACCTGGAACACCAGAGACGTTACAAGTGCGTTACCGGCCTTTTAAGGATTTGGAATTAGGATTTTTGGGGATTCAGGGATTGGGGAGATAGGGGAGAGGGGGGGAGTAATTGGGCCTCCGTTAACCTCACTCACATGATAAAACACAACGCAAGCGTTGTTTCACGTCGGTTTTCTGCTAGGCCGTGGTATCACTCCAGTCCAGCCGGCCCATTTGTGCTGAAGGATGGCTCTCTTACACTTAATGGTTATGTTAAAATTCATCATAGACTGATTACTATGTGGTATCGGTATAGTAGAATGAATTTTCACCACCCCTTATCCGCTCCAGTGGTCTGGATGATGACCGTAGTCCAGTACTAGACTGTAACCAGCTGTTGATTTTGATGTTGTCGTTTGACGGATTTACTCTACATAACATAAAATAAAATAACATCCCCGAAGGGGCAGGCAGAGTTGCACATTACGGCACTCAATGCCACTGTACAATGTAACACCCACGTTTTAATATTTCCATATACCGGGCACAATTCCAGACTCCGTGCTACTACTGAGATTATTTTAATAAACCCAGTAATACTTTGCCCGACCCGAGACTCGAACCCGAGACCCCTTGCTCGGCATTCGCACTAACGACCACTCGGCCAACAGGCAGTCTGTTAACTCGTGAAAGCATGAAAGAACAAACACACTTCCGAATTTACGACATTAGTAGTGATAGCTACGAGTAGCGAAGTTTCCGCCCCGCCAAGTCAATGTATGCGAAGCACGGCGTGAAACCAAAAACTTCGCATGAAGGATGAATATCGATGAACGCAAGTAAGTGAAGAGTGTTCACGAATACGCCAACAACTTGCTTCACGATGTTGAACCTTATCAACCTACCTAAGGCTGTTTGTATTACATTACTACTTGATATGGATCATAAGGCACATTTTTATTCGAAAGAAACAAGATATGCTACATAAAACATCTTATGTAAGATATTTTTTATTTATGAACTAGTTTTCTCTTTGTTTCGTTGATAGGTCGTGTGGTTGCTGAAACACCTATTTAAAATTCTCAATAACATCTTGGAGTCTAGAATTGCAGTTACTATGTTCCGTTATATTGCATAAATCTCAAGAAAACAAAACGAACTCTTTAAATATAGGTAAGTGTGGGAGAGTCATGCTTCGGCACGAATGGGCCGGCTCGACCGGAGTGATACCAGTGATACAGCCTCACAGAAAACCGACGTGAAGCAACGCTTGCGTTGTGTTTCGTCGTGTTAGTGAGGTTACCGGAGGCCCAATTACCCTCCCCTTCCCCAATCTCCCAAATTCCTGAATCCCCAACGATCTTCAAACTTCTAATCCCCAAAAGGCTCTGGTGTTCCAGGTGTCCATGGGCGACGCCGATTGCTTGCCATCAGGTGATCCGTCTGCTCGTTTACCGGTTTATGCCATAAAGAAAAAAAAATCTATTCAGAAGACAATAAAATGTTATGAATACCTGAATTGTTAAACAAATAACCAACTTATTTATACCAACAATGTACATAAAGGAAGACCATTGTAATTACCGAAACTGTCAAAAACAATTTAAGACTTTACTGGAGAAACAATTAATGTCACTTTATAATAACATAACATTACGCCTTTTATTCCCGAAGGGGTAGGAAGAGGTGCACATTATACCGCTGTATAATGTAACACCCACTTTTCACTTTTTATGTTATGAGTCCCATGTAATAGGGGGCGAGCCTATTGCCATATTCCGGGCACAATTCCAGACTCCGTGCTACTACTGAGATTTTTTTTAAAAAACCCAGCAATACTTTGCTCGACCCGGAAATCGAACCCGAGACCCCTTGCCCGACAATCGCACTTGTGACAACTCAGCCAACGAGGCAATCAGTTTATAATAAAAGATTAATTTTATACAATTCAGAGTAAAAATACTTGGCAGATGGATCCTGAGCTACTTGACCTGCAACTGCAAGGTAGTCATACTAAAATTTACTCATATACATAACCTCAAAGACTCCATCAACCAATATCAATTAATAATGTATGTATGTAAACGACAGTTGGCTGAGACAAGGCTTGCCGGAATATTGGCAATTATGCCACAATTGAGCGCTAGTGCGGGCCTAATGCGCCCATATTAACCTATGTTGCGATCTGCAATAGACGTTAGCTGCGTAGGTGTTGTATGACATGGCTATATTACCCTTGATTTGTCTCGTTAACTTCAGAGGCATGAGATCAGTGTGTTGTGATCATGTAAGAACTTATTGTATTGTACCATTATTTTCAGAGAACAAAATAGGAATTCAATCTTAAAGACAATCTTTTTAAAGACGATCCATTCACCAGACACCATTAACATTAATGCAAGAGATAAGACTTTTTAAGTAAAAAATAAGAATGTTATTAAATCTTTTTTTCACCGTTGTATAACCCTAGCGTTTTCTCCTGTAAAGAATTGGTCTGTGCGATAATCAAACCCGTAACACGTTGCGCGGCAGTCGGTTGCGCATCCACCGCACCAACCGTGCCGTAGAGTTCACTTATCTCTTTTGGCAAAAATTGCCGGATTTTTTATAAAAGCGTATACACATGGCACACGTTAAAATGATAGCTCGCACACATGGACTATAGATGGATGCAAATCAACGGACGACGTCATCCTACTTCGCATAAGTAAAGTTTACATGAGAATTTACACTAATAAAAAGTCCCAACGAACAATTCTGTGGGGTAGAAAGCCCGCCAGGCACGATCACCTCGCCTGGTCGGAGGATCCTTCTTATCCAATCTTAGGAACTATACTCTCTGTTCCCTAAACGTACATAATTTAAAGTCGACTGAAATTATTAATTAGAAATAACTGTCACTACTTAACGCATTTGCTTTTAAAAACACGATTCAGTTAAGAAGCTCCCTCTGCGCTCGGGATAATTTTTCTTCGCAAAGACGAACAAATTATGAACGACATAAATGAAATAAGAAACTTTGAATTGTACTAACACACTAACTGGTTTATTTACTTCGGAGCCAAGTTGCGAAGTTATTTCTATAAAGAAAATTGTAATGTTCAAGAAATATGAGAACTTTATTGCTTTAACTTACATTCCCTGAAGGGGTAAGCTTAGGACTTATTGTAAGTACGAATACTTTGAACAGGGGTATTATTTATGCCATTGATATAGGAGCCGAGGTTATGGTGAATTCCAATTATCAAATAACCGGAATATCAAATTTTCACTAGCCTTTGACAGTCCACTGCTGAAGTAATCCCAGTCTTGGTAGGTGTTTAGTACCAGATAGTACTGCTGTTTGGTATCTGTCAAATGTCACTTACTTAGCTTTTACCATACCAAATAGAAGAGTAAGGTTACAAATTCCACTTACTTACACTTGTATTTGCATGGCTTATATTTGTCGAATATTCATTATGATAATTTATTTTTTTAATGTTGTCCCGCAGTAGGATTTTCTCCTATGTAGGTGCGTTTACCAACACACAAGTTCACATACACATCTCACCCAGACGTGGAACAACGATCT